AAAAAAAAATTCGCATAAAAAAGAAAAAAACATTTAAATATTAAACTAATATTATTATATTTAGCAAAAAATGTAATAGTCACAAATTTTCTAAAATTTAATATTTAAAATACTGTGAAAAGTATTTCCTTGGAGGAAAGAAAAAGCCTTTTTTGAAGTAAGTATTTGCTATTTTATTTGCTTTTAATTTCTTTTTGCCACAAAATGCAATTTTTAGCTAAAACATAATATTTGTTTTTTTGGCACACGGTATGCAAATTATGTATAAAATTATAATAGAAAGTAAATAAAATATTTGTGAAATTCAAAATATTGTTGCTGCAACAACGACGAGGCCATGTTAGTTTAGTATATGCAAATATATATTATGTTTTATACAATAATTACAGTTTAGATAACATTTAAAAAATAACCTAAAATTAACTAGAATAAGCGTTTAAAAGTTGATTTAAGCGAGACCCATGAACATTTGTATGAAATGGTAAAATGCAAATACATTTATATTAAAAATTAAATAAAGAAATTACTATGTTTAACATACAAAATGCCAATTAGTTTGATAAACTAATATTTTTAATTAATTTGAATAAATACATAATTATATCAATAATTGAAATACAAGTATCTTATGATATATGTATGTATGTGTGTGTGGGTGTACGTTATAATAAATATAACAAAATTCAACGCTATAATTATTTTATAAATAAAATATGACTATAAATACTTAGAATGTAGGCAATACCCATAATTATACCCACAATTATACCCAAAACTGCTTGTGCATACTGTATATACATATTACGTCACCTAAAATGCAAAACAACGTATCATCAAAATAATCAAATTTCAGTTTTTATTGCTTACGATTCACTACATAATATGACATAGTATATGTAGCATAAAATTGACAGATTTGATCAATTTATAACCATTATATAACCATTACATAACCATTTTATAACCAAAACTCAAATTTGGTTTCAATTGAGTTTTTCTAGTATATTGTTTTTCCTACGCCCGCAAACTTATGAAAAGTGAGGTTACGTTATTTTGCATTTTATGTGACCACTTATAGTTATGTTAAAAGTTCATAATTTGCGCATGTCGGCCATAAATACACTAGCACAAGCGTTTTTGTCGTCATTTGCAGATTTAATTGAGATTTATTTTGCATTAAAAATTCAACAAAACACTATTGTGCCACGTTACGAGTATAAAGTAGTTGCAAGTAAATTTCGAAAAGTTACTTGCACAAAAATAATTCCGTTTTAATACGCTGACTTAAACATGCATATTTTCCAACTATAATGATATTAAAAAATAACTATTATTAATAAAAAATTGTTTATGTAAAAAAATGTTTATTTAGCTTAAATATATTTATGGCAAATATTAGCAATGTATCATTTTCTATAATATTTCATTATTTAATTATTTAGCTTGAAATAACAACAATAAATCAGCGCGTATTTGATAAAAAGTATATAAAAAACCAAGTACTTAATAAAATGTAGTTACATTTTTGCTTTATGCAGTACTCAAACCTACGAACTACAGGCAAAACTAACTGCAGTTCGCTGTCAAATAATTTTTTTTTTTTTAGTTTAAATACAAGCATAAAATACATTTGAAAAATATTTATTTTTTCTGGCTCATAAAACATTCTGTAACACTTAAGCTTAGCGTAAGGAAATGCAACAAAAAAATTGAAATATTGTAATAAAATATAAACT